AGATATTCTGGCAGTAATTACCACAAAGAGATTTTGTCTGGATCCCGTGAGGAAAAGTCTTCTTGGACAGAGAAAGTGACTCCTACCCAGACCAGTCCTCCCTGCCAGGCTTGTCCTACACTCACACCAGGACTATTCTTGGCTCCTTGCAGTAGCCAAGACCTTGTCTCAATATTATTTCCTTTCTGATGCTCGTAAAGAAAGAAGGAACCCATTACTCTTTAATCCTTTATCCAAACTTAGAAGATTAACTCCATTTTCAGAATTAAAATTATATCAAAACATTCTTTTGGTGCTCAAAGGGGACAGAAATGTGGCAGAGCAAAGCCAAACCTCACAACCAGATTTGTTACAGAAAGTCATTATTTATGGCACTGAAGGGATGGGGCTGATCCACTCTCAGCTTACCTCACATTTGATCTGGCCTGAATTTGTTGCTTTAGAGACAGAAGAAATCTTATTTCCTAAAGTTTCTTGCTTTGCCATTGTCCATCCTGTGCCTGGCATCAGCACCACTGCACTAAAACAACCAGGATTTCTTCTCACCTGGTTAGGACCAGTCTTATACAGAGTCCCACATTCACAATTCCCTTCCACTCACAGTTATTACTCCTTGGCAGACCACTCAGTAACTTTCAGAATGCTTTTTCCAACTTTTTCACCACAATTTTCAGGGGAAAAAAAAGCATTCCATGGGAAATCACCACCTTTCAAAAGGTTCTGTCACAGAAACACCACAAATATTGGCACCTTTCACTGGAAAAAAAAAGAATAATAATCGTGCAAGTTTGCTGCATTAATGTCTCAAGCAGCTGTGCTCCTCTTCCTCTGCTTCTAAAATGGCCAAGGCCAAATATGCAAGAGACAGCCAGGAAAAAAATGTCGAGATAAAAGTCAATTTAAAGCTTTTATATCAATTTCTCTGCCTGCTTAGCACGGCATCACTTCTCCCACTTTCAATCATGCATTGCAGGTGACACCTTGATTTTTCCACAGCCTCTATTCAAAACCCACTTCCCAAGCATCATCATCCCACAGACACATTTTGAGATGTTCTGCCCCAAATTCCAAATGTTTCCAGGTCATTCACATAACCCTGGACGCCACCATGTTCAGGTGCTGGGCAAGGAACTGTCTGGGCTGAAAGAAGTCTGGTAGTTCCTCTGCACCAGGCTTTTTGTCACGGCTTTTCTTTCCCACCACAGGTTTCATGGAGAAGAGGGACCTTCCATGAATGAGGAAACACAGTCCTGTAGTAAATTGGGACCATGGGAAGGACCTGGGCATGGCCCCAAACACCTCTTTTGCCTCTTGGCTGTAAAGTCCCTTTATCGAGGGACAAAGAGTTTTTCATCCAACCTTCATTTTCTTCCTGAAGGTCTCTTCCAACCTCGTGATTCTGTGATTCATCCACCAAAATCATCCCTGATTTTGCCATCACCAAGGCAGACCAGACATCCTGGACACTGAGTAATTTTTCATTCTTCTCCACTCGTTAAGTAGCAAAGAATTCACTTGTGAGCCATGTGTTTATTATTTCTGCTGTGTCTCCTATGTGCCTGACACACGGGACCCCAGGGGTGCTGCTCGCTGCTTTTTGATCAGTAACACATTCCTTGGCTCCCAGAGGAGCAGAAACCGTCAGTGAGGTTGGGTCAGATTTGGAAAACTATTTTATAAGTATGTAAGTAAATAAATAAAGAGGGGGAAATTCAGGGGGATGATTTTGAAAAGCACATTTCAGTTCAGAAGCCACGCGTATTTCACAGGGTGGCAGAATCGTAGGACTGGCACCATGAAGGTCATTCATCTCAGAGACCCCCTAACTTGTACTTCAAAGCTTTCAGTGATGGAAATTCCCACTGCTTCCTGTCAGTCTATCCCAGCCCTCTAATTCCCATAGCCTTAAACTGATTTCCTAACAACCACCACTAATTTCCTTCACTGAAAGGCTCATGACACCCTCTCCTGCCCATGGTGGGTTTCCCATCCCTGGAAATGTCCAAGGCCAGGTTGGACAGGGCTTGGAAAAACCTGGGAGAGTAGAGGGTGAAGGTTGGAATGAGATAATCGTTGGAGTTGGAATGAGCTGATCCTTAAGGTGCTCCAACACCAACCACTCCATGATCCCATGGTGGACAGCATTCCCTCCCTCTTTGCTGTGTCTCCAGTAAATGAAGCAACATCATTTCTTGTGCTAATTCCACACAGTTCACACTTCCCACACCTCAGCTCAACCATGTCCCTCTCCTTCAGGCATTTATCACTGGGTTTGGAGTTTTGAATAGGCAAGGCCACAACCTTTTTGAAATTAAAACTGACCAGCAATAACAGAGAAAAAATTGCTCCGTAAAACCACAGGAGCATTGTTCTCTTGCTCAGTTGCAACGTTTCCTTGGGAAAAAATTATAATTGAAACCCATTTTTTCACTTCAACACAAGTTGCTGCTGTGGTTTGAGCTTGGTTTTTGGTGGTGGGGGAGATATTTTTGGCTGGACATTCTGATGGATTTAAACCTGGTGTAGAAAACAGGCTGACCTGTGAGAAGCAAATATCTTGTCCAGCATGAAATTTTGGAATTCTGGTTTACATTCCTATTTATTTTTAAGCAATTGACCGTGACCCTGTCTTATCCAGTGATGTCCAGCGGTGCAACTGCTCCTTCCAGAAGCACCATCAGGACCCTGGGGCTGTGATTTGTTGCCAAGACCTCTGCAAGGGGGAATTCCATCCTTTTTTAGCCCCCACAGCTACTTCTAATCTTACAATGTGGTGTCAGCCTAATGAAAAGAGCTGACTTGCGCCACGTGGAATTAAGACATGGATGGAAACTTTGGGGCTGACGAGGATTCCTGCAGGATTTAGCCCCAGGTGTCCTGAAGGATTTTTTTGCCCATGATAGAACCCTTGCAGGAAATGATTGGCTAGAAGGGAACTCACCCACATGGAGGCAATGCTTGGCTGCCTCCAGAGGCTCGTGAACCGTGGAGGAGCAGTGAGCAAACTCCTTTTTTAACACAGATGGAATGGAAAGAATGAGGGGAAGGAAGGACGGCAAATAATGAAGTAACAGTGTGCCCAGGAGCTCCTACTCTGCTCAGCACATCCCTGTGATCCCTGTGAGATCCATCCATGAGAATCCCCCCTTCCCACACCTGCTTGAGATGACAAAAAACCTGGGCTGTTTCTGAAAATGTCCTGAAGGCCTTTTCGGATGCTGATGTGCCCATCAAGGTGCCGCAGAGGATTAAAGGTTGAGGGGTCGGTCAGGAAGAAAGTCACAAAGCATAAATAAAGGAGCTGATAGCCGTGTTTGAAAGGGACACACAGCCCAAATTATGAGGGAATGGGATGCCCATCCTGGGATTTTGTGGGTTTAGTAAAGAGGGGGTGGGAGCGCACCACCTCCGCTGAAAGCCTGGGGTTTAAAAGCATCCCAGAACACCCCACGCTGATTAAACCGAACATGGAAATTCATTGCAAAAGAAAAGGAAGAATAATCAGCAGCACCTTTGCAGAATTTTCACTTTAATATGCCTTGGGTCTTTCCTCCTCCACCAGAAAATTCAGGTTTTGACTTTGCAATCCTCACGGGGCAGCAATAGCCCTCTGTTGGCAGAACAAAAGAAGAATGGGCCAGAAGGGCTTTTTCACTGATTTTTGGGTACCAATAAAATGAAAATGCTGCAGGAGGTCTGGGAGAAGAAAGCAGAATATGAACAAGAAATCACAACCTCCTCAGCCCCCAAATCTTCTGATAAAAATGACTTAAACCTTGACAGAATGGCTGACTGAGCATATTAATGAGGGTGCCTGGGCTGCCCTGCAGCTGTCCTTTTTGTATTCCTCATTTCCATCTGCCTTCTCCATCTCCAGCACGTACCCGAGCCTGGACCATGTGCGTGTGCTCTGCATGCAGCCGGAGCCCTCACTGCTGGCAGTGTCCTGGTTTTGCACTTTTAAAGATCCCTAATCAATTAAATACCAGAGCAGCCCATCATGAGAGGCAAGAAGTAGCCCCAGATCACGAGTGGGGTAACTAAAGCACTTTGAAGAGCATTCAGTGGGGCATAATCGGCCACAAAGCCCCGAGGAAACACCTGAGGAGGTCTGAGATGCAAATACCCCACAACAGAGCAAGAGCTATTCCCTCCCAAAAGTGCCACAGCAAGCAGGGATAGCTTGAAATACCCATGCCCCAGCTTAGAGCTCTGGAATTTTGAGCCTGACCTAAATTTTAATCAGAATTAAAGTTATAGGCTTAGTGCAGATCCTGGGAAGTGACCAGGTTAGAAGCAGCAAATCCACTCTTCCTGTAGATCCCTTGGAGATTTCCAACTTTGCCAGAAGCTCTGTCTAAAACAAGCGTTATCTTTGCAGTGGTTTCACCAGCTTCAGTGGAGGAGCTGGTGAGAACAAAATATTCTATCCAGTGAGACCATTGAAACCATCTGTGCGGTGGAAGAAAGCAAAAAATCCCAGATGTGCCTCTCTACAAGTGGGGAATTAAAGATTCGACCCTTCCCCACACTGTCTGCAGCACCCAAAGGCTGCTGTGCTGGAAGCTGAGCACCCAAACTTCCACCTCCCCTCAGCTTCAGAGCTGGGTCCCTGATCTCACCTTCTCCTGTCACTCTCATTTCCAAGAAACTCAGCTGGATGAAACTCGTGCATTCCCGTTTATCATCTACTTTCACCATTTTTAAGATAAAAAAGGTTGTGCCTGAGAGAGAGCCCACTGGGTGGTCCCACCTCAGAGCATTCCCAATTCCAGCACTGGGAAGCTGCCAGGAGGAAACACAACACACCCCCTATCCTGGGCCACAGCAGCAGTTTGTCTCACTGGACATCCCACCTAAATCCTAAAAGCCTTAATAATCACTGGACCTTAGATGGGCCAAATCCTTAAATACCCTCAGGGAACACGCCCAGAGGAGCACCAGACAACAAACAGGCATCAGGAAGGAAGCAAAACTGCTGGAAAACCATTCGCACTTACCTTGAGAGTCCTGTGTTCAGATTAAATCATACCCCACTCAATCTTAGCTGTCCAGCAGAGTTGAAAAACCCCTTCCAGATCATCAGCTTGGGACCATCAGCTCCTTTGGATGAGCTTCAGTCCTTGGAGCACGCAGAAGGAGAAAGCCCTAATTCTTCTTGTCGCCGTGTGTTGAGTTGCTGTTGGTGGTTTCCTGTTGCCAGCAGCTGAATGACAAATGAAGCTGGTTTGTTACACTTATAGCAGCACTATGACCACACTTCTCACACACCAATAACATCAGAATGGGGTCTACCTTGCAAGAACCCACAAAGGCTCCTCAGGCTGTAAGAAGTCCGGTCCTGCTGCAAACTGGGCCCTGAATTGCCCTCATTTGGGCTGGGGTGAGGTGAAAGTCGTCCCCTGGAGACTCAGGGTATAAAGCTGGTCTGAAAATGGGAGGAGAAATATGGGTCTGGAGTTGTCTAAATTGGCCCATTCACAGCCCAGAGCAGTCTGAGCCAATAGAAGGGGTGGGGTTATTTATTGCCTGCACTTGGCTTTCAGAGAGCTTATCACTAGTCAAGTTTGACTTTGAGAAGTTTCTTTTTTTGTAATCAGCTGGGTTATGGGGCTGTAACCTCACTCACTTTCCATTTGAGGTTCTGTTTCCGCTTCAGACCTCACCTAAAGAGACTGGTCATGTTCTTCCTCCTTTCTTCAACAAGAACAAGACAGCTGATGCCATGTAGGGCAGAGGGGGAAGAGCACAGGAGACAGCAGACAGCACATCCTGCTATCTCTTAATCACTTGTGTGTGAGATTTCGTGAGATCTGCCTTCCCTCTCTGTTTTGTGCTATTAACTGCTTGTGGTACTGCACCAAGCTCTGCCTGTGCTGAGTACCCAGTGTCCATCAGGAGCTTCTGTGGGCAAGGCCCAGCTCAAATCTCACTGCACTGGGGGGTTTCAGTGCCTTCCACTCCAAAGGGTCTTTGGGCACCAGAGAATCCCAGAATGGGTTGGGTTGGAAGGGACCTTAAAGCTCATCTTGTTCCATCCCCTGCCGTGGGCAGGGACACCTCCCACCATCCCAGGCTGATCCAAGCCCTGTCCAACCTGGCCTTGGACACTTCCAGGGATCCAGGGATAGCCACAGCTTCTCTGGGAAACCTGTGCCAGCACTTCACCACCCTCACAGCCAGGAATTCCTTCCCAAATTCCCATCCATCCCTGCCCTCTGGCAGTGGGAAGCCATTCCCTGTGTCCTGTCTCTCCATCCCTTGTCCCCAGTCCCTCTCCAGCTCTCCTGGAGCCCCTTTAGGCCCTGGAAGGGGCTCTGAGCTCTCCCTGGATCCTTCTCCAGGTGAGCCCCCCCAGCTCTCCCAGCCTGGCTCCAGAGCAGAGGGGCTCCAGCCCTTGGAACATCCCCATGGCCTCCTCTGGACTCTCTCCAGAAGCTCCAGGACCTTCCTATTTTTCACCATGCAGTGCTCTGAAGCTCCATCATTCCCATTTTTACTCTCACCCTCAGGGTTCCAGACCCACCGACTCATCTGAAGGCCGGGAAACCGATGAGTGTCACCTCCTCCTGATCCTGCTGGATTCTGGATAAAGCTGCTGCACGTTGAGACAAGGAGAAAGGAAAACCAGCCAGAGCCTCATCAAACAGGACAACAGGAATCCTGCCTGAGACTGGCTGAGCAATGGGATGGATGCTTATCAGCTTTTTTTTGAGGCGAGGGATGAAAATATTATTCAAGAGAAGGTTGGATCTTCACTCTTGGTCCTACAGTTCCAAGGATCACCACTGGCTGAGATAACACCCTTCTTCTGATGGATTTCTGCAGAGGAAGTTGTCTGGAGGCAAATTCCAAAGTGTGGATCTCTCTGGAATGGTTCACATGGGGAATGTTGCAAACATTTGATTATTTGGCTCATTCATCAGTCTGAACAAACAGCCAAGAAGAGGAAACTAACAAGCAAACACATTTCAAGTGCTGTTTGCATTTCAATGCCCCCAAAAGAGTCAGTTTGGTTTAGAAATGGAAAAGAGTTCCAACAGCTGGGGTGAAATAAAGAAAAAAAATCAAATTATTGTTCTTTCATTTTATCGTCCTGGGTTGAAGAGATTGTCCAGATTCAATTTGTCAAGCCACCAATTGCTGAAGTAGAGCTGTGTTCCCTGACAATCAGTTACAAATCCAGGGAATTCCACCCAGCTCCTGCTGCAGGAGAGAGCAGGAAGTGATGCTGGGGTGACAAGGGGGGGAAGCTGCAGCTCGGACTCCACCCTGCATTCACCCCAACTTAAAGCAAGAGTCCAAGATGGGCTTTTCTTACCTTTCCCTTCCTTACAAAGCCTAGGAAATAAATTCAGGGCAACCACAGCATTTTTAAAGATCCCTCCAGTCCTGTGGGTTTTGGTGGTGAAGCCTTACTGGATGGACAGGTAAGACTGGAGAAATAATTTTTATTCACTATTCACTTTTGGAATTAATTTACCGAATATTTTGAGTGAAAGTAGAACTGAAATCCCCTTTTTCCAGCAAAGAAGATAGGTGGAAAAACCATATATTATTTTAATTTTACAATATAAAATAATATAATATATTATAAAATAAATATATTTTACAATATAAAATAATATAAAAATATTTATATTTATATTATCAACTTCTTTAGCTCTCAAAACTATCTTAAAGGTAAAGTCACCCCATGACAATATTTATATTTATATTTATATTTATATTTATATTTATATTTATATTTATATTTATATTTATATTTATATTTATATTTATATTTATATTTATATTTATATTTATATTTATATTCTTACATACTTATATATATTATATATATAAAAATATTTTAAAATATAAATTTTCAAGATTTTTAATGCTTTTTAGTTTTATGGATTGCTGCAATGAATTGGGTAAGTAGGTTTATCAAAGGAAAGCCATTACAAAACAATCAAAATCTTTAGAAAGGGTCTTGATTTTATTTGAAAATGATTCCTAGTTCTTCAGTTCTTGGGAATTTTTTTGAGTTGAGGGAAGAATAATTCACTAACTCAATATATACACTTACAAAGTTCATGGAATCAATAAATGGACCTTTTACCTTTGAAAAAAAAAAACCAAATTGGCTGATAATTGCCACCATGACTTTGGTAGGATTTCAGGCACAATTGTCCTTTGGTCTTTGATGTTTGACTCACCTGGGAGAAACCCATAGAGAAAATAAAGTAGATACCCCAAGGAAGGAACCTGATCTAGTGGAAGGTGTCCACTGGATGGAATTAGACGAACTTTAAGGTCCCTTCGAACTCAGGCCTGTCAGTGATTCTGTGGAGACTGAAACAGGCCAGTGCCAGGTCCCTCAGTGATCCATGGGATGATCATCCATGGAGATGAGCAGCCAGGTGACCACAGCTGGTCTCTGGGGACACCAGGGGACACCAGGGGACACCAGGGGACACCAGGGGACACCAGGGGACAGCATCACCTGGAGCCCTGCTGCCCTCTGGAGGTGCCTCTGCCACGTCTCCAGGTTGATTTGCTCCCAGGGGATCCTCCAGAGGACTTTCCTGGTACAAATCCCTTTGGAGGGCGTGGAGGCTGCTCCTGGCTAGGATGGGATAATGATGGTTGAGAGCACCACAGCCTCCTCTTCCCATCCTTGGGAGACTGAGCCCCAGGGAACCATAGATCACAGAATGGTTTGGGTTAAAAGAGACCTTAAAAACCATCCAGTCCCACTCCCTGCCACCTCCCACCATCCCAGGCGGCTCCAAGCCCCATCCAACCTGGCTTTGGACACTTCCAGAGATCCAGGGGGAGCCACAGCTTCTCTGGGCACCCTGTGCCAGGGCCTCACCACCCTCCCAGGGAGGAATTTTTCCCTAATATCTCATCTAAAGACACTCTCTTGAGCAAGAGTGTCAAATTGAAATTTGAACCCTTTCCCCTTTGTCCTGTCACTCCATGTTCTTGTCCTAGCTTTCCTGTCAGTTCCCTTCAGGTACTTTAGCAACTCTTCTTCACAGGGACTTTGCTTTAGGGGAAAAGCATTTATCTGGGGACCAGCTGAGAAGAAACCATTGATGCTCCTGTAGGATTCCAGCACTGGTCCCACAGAACAGCCACACAACCCTGCCAGGAGATCCAGCTCCTCCACGCTTTGTTAGCAGGATACCTGCAGGGAGAAATCACCCAAATCCAGCAGAAAGGGCAAGAAGCAGAAGGTTCAAATCCAAATTGAGTTGAGCTGCTGCTGTTCTCATAAAAGAATGGTCATTTCTGCCCATTTTGGGTGGTAAGAGGCAGCTCAGAAGGTCCAGGTAAGATTCAGGGGGCTCTAAGGTACCTTAAAGCATGTTCAGATCAGCACAGGGGATCCCAAGGAAGCCTGGCTGCCCCATCCCTGCAAAAGTTCAAGGCCAGGTTGGACAGGGCTTGGATCAGCCTGGGATGGTGGGAGGTGTCCCTGCCCGTGGCAGAGGATGGAACAAGATGAGCTTTAAGGTCCCTTCCAACCCAAACCCTTCCATGATTCCACAAACCACCACTACAGCAAGCCATTTCCAGCTTTGCAAAGCCTCATCCCAGCAAAAACTCAGGCTTGGATCCATGTGTTCCCAAGAATTCAACAGTCCTCTTGAAAAGGTCCTGTGCTCAGGGATGCTATGGGAACAGGCAGTCTCTGGAGCTCTGTGGGCAACAGAAAGGATTCCTTGTGCCTGAGGAAAAGAGAAAAATACTGAGCCGTAGGTGTTGACAGTGCTGGTGTTGCACAGGTTTATTTTGACTGATCGCACCTAATTCAAGGTGTCCACTGCAGGTGGCTGGTGTTAGAGCATCACCAGTGGGAGCACCACTGTCCCTCAGCAGCTCCTCAGCAGGTTTTTTTGGATGAAGACAACTTATCCAAGATAATTCCAGGCCAAAAACCACTCAAACCCCATGGAGTGGCATCAGAGGGATGCGGCTGCAGCCTTTCACTGCTATCTTATGACAGCTCATTTGAAATCCATTATGCAACTGAATTAAAAATAAACATTTACAGAAGAGGGAGCGGTGACAGTGTGTGGTCTGTTCCTGTGAGGAGACAGACAGACAGACATCCAGCCTTGGGAGCAGCACCTCTGCTGCAAACTCACCCTGCTAGACCTGGGCTCTGGCCCTGACACAAACTGACCCTGCCTGGCCACGTCCCTGTGATTCAGTGCTCCTGGCTATCAAATCTGGCTGGCTGAATCCAATTTGTTTGTCAGGAAGGGATCCCTTTGTCATTCCCTAGCCATGTCCTGGGGCTGCTCATCCCACACCAGAACCAGGCCAGGGGCTCTCTCACCCTGTGCCTGTCTGTTCCCTGGTGCTGTTTGGCTCATGGGCA